AGCTGATCTCGCTGGAAGTAAAAAACCTTATGTTCTTCCAGTACCCGCTTTCAATGTGATCAACGGTGGTTCTCACGCTGGTAATAAACTCGCTATGCAAGAATTTATGATTTTACCAACTGGCGCCTGCTCTTTTACTGAAGCTATGAAAATTGGATCTGAGGTTTATCATTCTTTGAAATCTGTTATCAAATCAAAGTATGGTCAAGACGCTACTAACGTTGGTGATGAAGGTGGTTTCGCACCAAACATACAAGACAACAGAGAAGGACTTGAATTACTTAAAGAAGCTATTAAAAAAGCTGGTTATACTGATAAAGTAAAGATTGCTATGGATGTAGCAGCTTCAGAATTTTATAAAGATGGATCATATGATTTAGATTTTAAAAATCCAAGCTCTGATAAATCGAAATGGTTATCTGGTGAAAAACTTGCTAATTTGTATAAAGAATTCATTCAAGAATATCCTATCGTTTCTATTGAAGATCCGTTTGATCAAGATGATTGGTCTGCTTGGAGTTATCTTAATAATTCAACCGATATCCAAATTGTTGGTGACGATTTGACTGTCACTAATCCTAACAGAATTACCACCGCAATAGAAAAAAAAGCATGTAACGCACTTTTGTTAAAGGTCAATCAAATTGGTACCGTTAGTGAATCTATCCAGGCGTAAGTATTAATTTTCTATTTTAATTTTATTATTATTTACTATCTTTATATGCTAAAAAAAATATATATATATATATGTTTTATAATAATAAGTGCCAAATTATCTCAAACTAATGGATGGGGTGTAATGGTTTCTCACCGATCTGGAGAAACCGAAGATACTTTTATTGCTGATCTCGTGGTTGGTTTACGTACCGGACAAATTAAAACTGGTGCACCTTGCCGCTCTGAACGATTGGCTAAATATAATCAATTATTACGTATTGAAGAAGAATTAGGTGCTGATGCAGTTTATGCTGGTGAAAACTTTAGACATGCTCATAACTTGTAACTTTAGTGTTAATAGAATTTTAGCTAAATTAATTTTTATTTAATCTATGAAGAATTTCGGTTTTTTTTTTTTTTTTTTTAAATTATCTAAAAAAAATTATCTAAAAAAAAAATTTGTCAACGCAGAATAATTTTAATTTATTTGAAAAAAAGCAGAATTTACATAAATACTGGTCAAATAAACATTTATGTAAATGTGAACTCCTACGTATATTGTTTCTTATCGCATTGTTTTCTTTGTATAAAATAATTTCAATTTTCAATATTTAAAGGTATATATTTTGTTTTACACTACTAAAGCGAATTAAAATTATATATATAGTAAAAAATGCTAATATATTTTAAGGTTTATTAGTAAGCCTTTATTCAAAGCCACCTAATTGTCGTATATATATAAAATTTTAATCTGCCGCAATTCTCATATAAAAAAAAATTTAACCTTCACTTAATATACTATAACTTCTGATCCAATATATGTACGCACGTATGTACTGTACATACCTAGTGGTGGCCCTATGACCTTTTATGATCTATAGGTTATGACCTTATGACCTTTTATGATTTATAAAATTTATACGTACAATATGACTACCTTGGTTATGTAAAATGAATCTGTACCATACATATCCTATCCAATCTCTAAGTTAGTGATTTTTTATCTAAATCTATAATTTATCAATTGGTTCTTACAAATAATACGTAGTTAATTCGGGATGTGTTACATACGTATAAATAGTATAACGTAGAATAGATTTCGTATATTGGAATCTATATCTGTCATCATATTTACTGGGTAATGCGTAACATTAAGCGTCCGAAGCTTATTATAATTGTGTAATCAACCAATTATAATCATGGAAACGAACTGACTTGAATACGTGAATTATAATTTTTGTTAATAAACACCAATAACTATTTTGGCTAAATCAAGTTGAATACGTACGTACGTATTTATATCAATGTAAATACTTATCAATATTTATACGTATCGACGTACCGTATTGAATATTTGTGTAATATATAAGACGAATAATGTTACACGAAATATTTGAACTAGTATAATTTTTATTTTTTCAATTTTTTCCACAAATTTACAGGGAAAAAAAAAAGTGACAAAAAAAAAACGAGATCAAGTATTTAAATATTTAGAATATTTAGTCAATAGGCAAAGAGTGATCGATATTTAAATATGATATTTTATACCCATGTGGTGTTAGACATCAGAAAGATTTGAATATAAAACAGATTTAAAAATATAAAAACATGAAAAATAATTAACATTCTGAGCTTCAGGAAAGCACAAACCCATTTATAAATACATTTATTCCGATTTCTCCGATTTAGAAGCTTCCATTGCGCTTTGAGCGGCATCTCTTGCTACATCTTCAATTTTATTTTTCCATTTATTTATGTTCTTATCAATGTCACCTTGATAAGAAATGAGAGCTGGCCTCAAAAATTTGGTATAAATAAGTTGAGCACCCTTGAAAGGTGGAAGTAAAAGCCTATAATAAATGTGCGAAAAATACGAAAATTTTAATAAGTTGGACTGGTTGTTTCCAATCTTTCCTTGATTATTTATATTTTAATTAAAATCTCACCAAAGGAAAAAGACAGTTTTGAAGAGGAAATAGAATGGAACCCAATAGAGTATAAAATCGGAAAAGAATTCAACCATATTGATAAATCCATACACAGTCCTAAGTAAAATGATATAATGTTTAAATTAAAATGACGAAGTATTAGCCTTATAATGTAATTATTACATCGAGACTACGTCAACATATAAATTCTAAATATTTTAAAAAGCTTAAAAAACCTTACCAATATGTAAGCCATTGAACGTCGTCTGAGGTCTCTTTGCTTTCGATAGCCTTAAATGAAGCATAGGCTATATTCAAAATAGTTGTCAAGTTAGAATTTGTCACGCATGTAAGTTCCTGCTACTTTCTTTGTCCATACCTGGATAAAGCCAGCCGATAATATCAGAAAGTAATTCACCCCAAATGTTGAAAAATATCAATGTAAATACAAAGGCTACAACGCCAGCGGCCATATAAGTTTTTGGAACATTAGTTTGTTGTTCCAACTTGACCAATTGTGGATACTTAGAGAGCTCTTTGTCAGCTTGAGCATTAAAATAATTCAATTTTTCTTTAAAGTCCATTTCTATTTTGTTATTAAAAGCGTAAAGGTCGTGAAAGGCTTATTATTATTGCAACCACTAACTGGGTTTATAAATATCACCTTAAATTCCTTAGAATGATCTTTGTACCGATGAGTTTGATAACGATAATGCAAATGTTAAACGATATGTAACACGAACGTGACATTTAGTCTGTGAACCTCACTTTCCCACCCCGTTCCGCTACTAAAGAGCATAGTGCATTGCAGTAAATCCTTGCCTCAATATTTTTATCGATTTTATCTACGTATGTACATGCATATTCTGAAACCTTTTCTTTGTCCAAAAGAAAAAAGAGGTTGAGATAATATGTATAAAAGAGGCAATAAACCGCAATAATAAAAATTTAATGTAGAATTTATATGAACAAACTCGAAAATTTTTTTACAATCAATCACGTGTAAATGTCAATCAGATTATTCACAATACAGTTAATACAGATACGACTAATAGCGATAGATACGATTAACAGATACGATTAAACAATACATATATACATATTTAATCCGCTCATCGTTACCTCTTTCTTTAGATTCAAATGTTTTCTTTTTTGTCCTTATTTATTCCAATGGCCACGCCACAACATCTTTGGAATATTGGTGCAATTCTAGGTAATCTATCGATTTTTTTTTTCTTTTTTTTATTCAAATAATGTTTATTAATTGAAGCTTTAAATTTTTGAACAGGCGTTTCGGGAATTGCGTTGGGCGC